TGACCTGCGCTCTCCGCGACGACGCGGAAGTTTCAACAAAGGATAAATGAGTTTCCAGCACTGAAAATTCCTTGCAGTAGCTCTGCTACTAAATTTATTTAAAATGGGTATCTCTGTACACCTGTCGTGTCCGGTGTAGACATTGTGTCTGTGTGTGAGCAAAGAAAACAATCAGTATAAATATGACGATCAGTATACTAAACATCACACATCCTGCGATGTGACTATCGCGGATGTGCACATCGTGATATCGATGCTGAAACGATATATCGTGCAGCCCTAGTTGGTGTGGACGCTAATAGTGGTCGACCGATACATCGCCAAGGCTGATATATCGGCCAATATTTGGCATTTTTCAAATATCGTCATCGGCCGATAAGTTTATCTGTTTGGCCGATGTGTTCGAGGCGGGACTTTTATTTTGACAGCGCGGCAGACTTTTATTTTGACGGCGCTGGGAACGGCAGCCGCAGCGCCTGAGCGCACACCGCTCACATTCTCCCTCTTGTTCAGACGCGCGATCGACAAACTTTAAACTCGTGACTGATTTCAAATTATGCTGCGCTTTATGCAGTTACCCACTGTCATATTCATGTCATTTTCATTGCGTGCTGTATGTAAAATGAGTGTTACCTTGGCTTTATTTGAAAAAAATAAATTAATGATTCACACAAACTTCCCAGAATACTGAGTCCCCTTTTGGTTACCGTGTTTACTTCCTTTTTAATTTGATTTTTATTAAATATTTATTTATTTGTGAAAAATGCTTTGTCTTCTAAAGTATAAGTATGTTTATTTTACACAATTATTTTAAATCCATTTTCAAATGATTTCAAATTTCTTAAATATAAATTAAAAGAAATAAAATGATATCGGCCATTGGCCACCCTGCTTTCCAAGATATCGGCATCGGCTGTCAAAAAACCCATATCGGTCGACCACTAGACGCTAATATAGTTATCGCTCTTAAAAAGCATCAGCATTTAAAACATCAGGCGACAAAACTGCAGCTCATTCTTATAACAAACAGAATGTTATCGTCCGTTGATGTGGACGCTAATATAGTTATCGTTCTTAAAAAGCTTGAGCATTTTAAGTGGCAGCCAACAAAACTGCAGAGCGCACTTGTATTAAAGGGGTCATATGATGCTTTTTTAAAGATCATTATTTTGTGTATTTGTTATCGTCTGTTGATGTGGAATGCCAAGTTATCGTTCTTAAAAAGCTAGAGCGTTTAAAGCAGCCGGCATCAAAACTGCAGCATGTGCTTATAACAAACAGAGCGTTATTGTCCATTAGTGTGGATGCTAATATAGTATCATTATAGTTTTCGTTCTTGGTGTGAATGGGCCTTTAACTGTGGATACCAATGGGATGTTCATGTAAGATGCATTTTGCGCAACAGATTGAGTTTTTTGTTGCTTGTGGCAGAATTCTCAAAATAGATATGTAGTCGCCCAAAATGCTAAATGCTAATTTAAGCCCTGTTGCTAAAAATGCTAAATGCTAATTTAAGCCCTGTTGCTAAAAAACTCTGAATCAATAAAGATTTTGATTCGTTCATCTAGGTGTTTTCTTCCAAGTTGAGGATGTCCATCATTTTGGGAATGATGTGAGAGGGTGGATCAGTCTGTCAGGCATTTGAAGGGTGTCCGTGAACTCATCACGTCACTGTGTGCTTCCGTCATATTGTGGGAAGAACCTGCGCAGATGTTCTGTGTTTTTGAGAAAATTAAGTGTGACATGAGTTCCGCACCATACTTAAGTGTTAAAAATGACCGTAATTAAATTAGAAGCGAAACTTGACATCTTTTCCTGTATTGCACAAAAGTACGACTTTGTTGACAGCTATATATATATTTGAGGGGAGCTCCTTAAATGAGTACGTCTGATGAAACACCAAGAAATAATTCCGACGTTTGAGGGGAAAATGAGTCCTTGGTATTTCATCCTTGAAGCTGTTCTTCTGGAGATGCTCTTTAAATAGTAATGGGGAGTGTTGTATGTGGACAGATAATGCATTTTTGTTTGGGCTGTCAATTTTTACAATTTTCAATTATATAATATATATAGATATATATATATATAATATAATAGTTTGTGATTAATTTAATCACATCAATATTTGCTGAAAAATGCCCCATATGAAGACATTTACACTTGATTACATTTATATTAGTTTAATATACATTACAAAGTGGCTGTTAGAAACATTGATTGAATTGCTCTGACGGTTTGAAAACTCCATATTAATTTATTTATGTGTTGGAGTAATTATGTGTTATTTTTTACATTTATATTTATTTAATTAATTAAATCACATTAATTTTCAACTGCACCAGATTACTTAATTTAATCTTGTTTAATTGAAAGCCCTAATTTTTATTTGTTTAATGAATTCTACTTTTAATTTAGCAGCTAAATTTCAAAATGCGCTATGCAGAATCCATGTTTTGAGTTTATGCATGTTCTTTACTGATATTTACTTTAATTACTCAGGTAAACAAGATAACAAAATGAAAAGCAGTTTCTATTTCATTAAAGAATATATTTGCCGTCTATATGGTATTATGTTTGTTAATATTTATTCTAATATTAATATGCCATTAAACGTATACATACTAGCATTCAAAATAATTTTTTATATTTTAACAGATTTTACTCCAGTGTCATATGAGCACCAAATCAGCATATTAGAAATAGGATCAAGAAATATTTCTTATTATTATCAATGTTGAAAACACTTTTTTTTCAGGATTTATTGGTAAATACAACATTCAACAGAACAGCATTTATTTGAAAATTACATCTTTTGTAACATTACAAAAGTATTTAATGTCACTTACGATCAATTCAATGCATCCTTACTGAAAAAAAAAATGTAAGCATTAATAAAAAAAATTAAAAATCCCGAAACTTTTGAATGGTAGTGAACTTTTTTTTTTTTTTTTGCTGTGGTATCAATTGATATAAAGAATTCTTAAATTTGACTTTTACTGATATGACTTCATAAACTTGGCCATAAACATGCTCCTTACCTCAAATCTCAGATTTCAACCAATTTATACCAGCCTGCATTTCCAAGAATGCTTTGCGACTGAGCACCCGTGAGGTTTCAACATGCACCGAAATTAATTGCTGTAATGTGTTTGCTTGTCCATCTAGAATGGGAGAGCCAGTGGAACTGCATTTTTCTCACTTGAAGTTTGGGACCAACCCAAAATACACTATTTAAAGACCTAACCACCCTTTCTCCTCTTTTTTCTTGCAGGTTAGCTTTATATGTGTATGAGTACTTGCTGCATGTCGGCGCACAGAAATCAGCACAGACCTTCCTGTCAGAGGTAAGTGGTATTGCATAATCAACTTTCCCAAGCAAACAATTGTTGTTGTGTACTCAGGAAAAACTCATATTAAAGGGATAGTTCACCCAAAAATGGGGGGGATCAACATTTTGAAGCCCAAAAAAGTGCATCCATCCATCATAAAAGTGCTCCACATGGCTCTGGGGGTGAATAAAGGCCTTCTGAAGCGAAGCAATGCGTTTATTTTTAAAAAATATCCATATTTAAAACTTTACCGTAATCTCTAGCTTCCGCTAACTGCCGTACACGTGTTCACGAGAGAGTGGCATTCCAGCGGATGATGTAGGCGTAGCATAAGCTCCGGTGAGAATATGCTAGTCTCGCAAGAAACAAGTTTTGTTTACAGCAAAGGAAATCCGGTCTCCTGTTGGTTTATATCAAAATCCGCCAACATTCTTCTTTACAAATCCTCGTTTTGTTCGTCTAATTCGTGATCTGTTTTGTTTTGCTCTCTCCTCTGCACTTCTGGGTTCGGCACATCTCACCGGAGCTTACGCTACGACTACATGCTACGTCATCCACTACAACGCCTCTCTCTCGTGAATAGAGTATGTGAGCGGCAACAATTTCCCCTCCACACTCCAAGCATTCAATAATCACTCCGCTTCAGCTCCGCTCCGGGTTCATCATTTCCTGCTCCTTGCTCCACTGATCAGAAACACCGTTCCGCCTTCGCTCCATGACGAATTTTGTGGCTAAAGTATTTCAGTATGTTTTTAAATATCACAAAGTTCTATTCAGAACTTATATTAAACGAAAAATAAATACACAATACTAGAAGAATAGTTTTAACGTGGTTTACTGGAAGACTACAATTCGTCCCAAGTCTATATTAAATGGCTGTTTAACTCACTTGTCTGTGCAGCGTCTCTCTACTATGGTGAAGCTGAGGGTTGTAGTTACTTCAGAAACACAAAGAATATGCTGTAACTTTTCCGTTTTTAAGCTGATAAATCACAGGACAGCGTTGACAATAATTTTCTGCACTCCTGAATGTTTCTATGTGCGCGGAATCTGTAAGTTATGCGCAAGCTTGTGTGTTGTGCAACAATGTAGCAGCACATTAGTTAAGAGCGGAGATTAACTACCTGTACCATAAACTGTTTAAAACATGAATTCCCCCAATATTGAGTATCCACATGCTACAAACAATCATGCTTGAGATATAACCTCCTGCACTCGTCCATCGCCATCATAACCTTCATTTTCTTTCTGATTAGTGTGATCCACATATCTGTCAAGCTTGCTAATGATGTTTCATGCATGAATTCTTGATAAAATGCAGTTATATTATGGGCTTTTGGCATTAATTGTGCTCGTGATGGAGCGGTAGTGGAGCGCTCTCGGAGCGAGTGAAAAGCACGACGCTCCCTCTTTTAAAAAAATCCACTCTTCACTCCAGTCAAAAATCACGCCGCTCTGCACCCACTCCACTACACTCCACTCCACTCACATACTCGTGCACAAGCTCGTTTTCTTACACAAATGCATCAATTCGCTTCAGAAGGCCTTTATTAAAGCCTGTGTTATACTTTCCGCATCTGCGAGTCCGCTATGGTATGCGTGACATAAAAATCGTCATCAGAGAGTGTGCGCGGAGGCTCTGCGCAGACATCCGCGTGCCTCCCATTTTTTGTGACTGCGCGGACAAGTACGCGCGGTCAGTAGGCTACTGCGCAGGCTGTGTGAAGAAGCCCGTTGCTACTCGAACCTGTACAATACGTCGATAAAACAATATAAAGACAGCCAGATGTGCAATAACTCTGGGTAATTCTTTGTTAACATGTTTGTTTATTGTTCAAGCCGATCTATTACGCATGTATGGAACACGTCCGCGGAGCGGACCATCAGCGTATGCTTTCGGAAGTATAAATACAAGTAGTCCGCGTCCGCGCTGTCCGTGTACGCGTCTGGATTGCTCATGCGGAAAGTATAGCACAGGCTTTACTCCCGTGTGGAGCACTTTTTATGATGGACGAATGCACTTTATTGGACTTCAAAATCTCAACCACCATTCACTGCCATTATAAAGCTTGGAAGAGCCAGGACATTATTTATTATAACTCTGATTGTATTCGTCTGAACGAAGAAAGTCAAATACACCTAGGATGGCTTGAGGGTGAGTAAATCATGGGGTAATTTTCATTTTTGGGTGAACTATCCCTTTAATTCAAGGCAGGTTTGAGGCCAGAAATTAATATTTTTTGGTCAAATTAATAAGTATTAGTCATATTGGTTAATCAATTCCAATTGCTTTGTTTCAGCAAATGTGAACTGTTAGCTTTAGCTTTACTTTTACAGAAATATTAACAGTTGTTTTCCCTAAACATTGTAGTTTCTCATTACAACACTCTTAAAACTTATAGACTATAGTTTTTGCAACAGACATCTTTATCTTTGAACACTAATATCTGATATTGTTTCTCCAAAGCATCCTGCATTTAGCTGCTAAAACATTGAAAGGTCTTGATCAATAAATGGAAGTGATATTATGCAATGTGTCACCTATGATTGTTTTTCTAAAAATCAGTTCAGCGCCACTGAGGGGGCGCAATCACAGCATTAACGTTTGTGCGGCTACTACTAGCATGATAAAGTGGATTGTCGTTGCGGTTTTGTGAAGCGGTGGAGCTTTTGCTGTAGATTACTATATGAACATTATATGGAGCTTGAGTACACTACATGTCTGGAGTGGAGGTGATGCCACCACTTCTGTTCAGAACCGCTCTCAAACACGACTGCATGTTAAAAGTCTGATTCAACGTTGGCCTCTGTGGAAATAGGTGCAATTGGTTTGTAATATACTCTCGATCTGCTGTGATGCTCTCTTTTCAGGCCGATCAAAGACTTGAAGCCTATTGGTTTGTTGTATTTTTAATAAGAAGTTATACAAACTTTGTTAGCCTATGCTTTAATTGAATGAAGAAGCCAGTTTGTGTGGAACTTGAATTAGTTGGATTTTTAAAGATTTTGCCAACCTGCAGGTTTGAAAGTCATCACAAATTGTGTTTATTGTGTTTTATGTTGAAAGTCATTCATAGTTGTTAGAAGCAGGTGTCATCCATTCAGCTTTTCAGTTGATAATTTGAATAAATATGGGAGCTGATTTTGACAATATGTGTCTGAAGTTATAAAGATGTGTAAATGTTAATTGTTTGACATTATAAGACACTAAAAAGATTGTGTAACTCTTCTTTAGTGCTTCAGGACCTTTACAGATTGTGAACTTTTCAAATGTTATCATCTATCTTATTGCATTTGCCGTGGTCCTCTGGTACCTGCTGTGTTTGTTTATGTGGGTATCATTAATCGCTCACAGTGGACTTCCAAATATGCCCCATGTTTTTAAATGTTTTGCTCAAAGTTTGACAAAGATGAAGCACTGTGTTAAAGTCTGGCCTTGTGCTTGTGAGAACCTCCTAGGATCTTGGTCAGACAGGTGAGATGTTGTTTCTGAATTTTAGCCAGTGTAAGGTGGCACAATACAGAAATATTTAAAAAGAACTTCCTTAAAAATTTACTGCAGAAGATATCATCATTTAACACATTTCAGTACCTGGACATCTCCATATGTTGAGTGAGATTCATGAAATATGGCTTTTAATACATCTACTGAATATTATTTCATTTTATAATCCATCTTTAAATCCAATCCAAATGAGATGTTTAACAATAAGACATTTTATTATTTTATTAAAAATAAAATAGATAGTCGACAGATAGTGGATTTTACCGATAATGATAACTAGGTTGGGCCGTACTGGCCGATAACCAGTTAATCAACCAGTAGTTCTTAAAATGGATACTGAATGGAAACAAACATAAAATTCCAAGTAAAATACTTCTGAACTTTATTACAAAAATCAAAAACAGTACTGAACCTTGAAAATGTATTGTACTTTTTAAAATATAAATAGATAATAATATATTAATTTTACCTTGATCATTCATGTCCGTTCAAAGTGCATTGAATAGGGCCCTATGATTTCCGCGATGTGAAAAACGCGGACGGAATCGCAGAATCCAGTCATAAAAACGGAATTCAGGGTTTAACGCGGAATGTCACGGAATTTGTCAAATTTTTAATAAATTAATCAAAAGTAGGTCATTTCACTTAAATCAAATCGCGATATGGACTAGTATTTTAAATATTAAGCCGCAAAAGTCGATTTAAATATGAATCCTGCATGTTCTGCGTGTCTCTGTTAATGAATGGCGCAGACGCGCGGTTTCAAATACTACACACATACTGAAGCGCGCGTGACGCTTGCGGTGATTTCGGCGTCTGCCGTCTCACTAAATGAGGACGTAAACACATGAACAACATCTCCAAAACTGCTCTGAGAGTCACTTCATGAGCAGTTGACCGTTTGATTTGAGTAAAACTACAGTCATATCTCATACACAGAACTGTAAAGGTATTCACGGCAACCCGTCAAAATAAAAGTCCGGTTTGATTTGAAGTCTGTGCCTATTACTATTTTTCAGTAGAATGTACATAGCCTACTACTACTACTACTACTACTAAAATGAAACAAACATTATTTTTTAAAGAATAATCACACAACATTTCTTCTGTTTTAATTTGAATAGTAAATCCCCTTTGTTTGCCAAAAAATAAAGGTTGCTTAATTTTCAATAATTAAAAGATAAATTAAATTAATGTTTTATGCCTTCATTTGATAACCAGAAAAATGTAAATACACAACGAGAAAAAAATGAATAAAGTAAGTTGTTTTATGCATTCAAATAATTAGACATGCTAAAACACAGAATTTGGTAACAATAAAAAATATGGTGAGAAAAAAAAAATGTCATGGGGCCCTAAACGTAATTTTTGTTAAACTTTTAATAAACTGATGTGAAAATGTATAAGTTTCATGATTTTAATTAATTAGACATGCTTTTTGATTAATAAAATTTAATTGAACTATTAAAAAGAAGTCGAGAAAAATTTAATCTGAAAAAAACGGAATTAAAAAAATTAAGAATGGAAAAAACGGAATTTGGAAAAAAATAAAACGGAATTTAGGAAAAAATAAAACTGATTTCATAGGGCCCTAATTGACTAATGATATCAAATAGGCTACAATTTCAAAATTTGAAAATGTATTAGTAAATGATGAAATTAACTAAATATGAACAATACTTCTACAGCATTAATTAACCTTTATTAATATTACAAATGGACTCTTGTAAAGTCTCCATAAGTGTTAATAAGGGGGAATAAGGGGAAAATGAGGGGAAGTCGTGGCCTAATGGTTAGAGAGTCGGACTCGTAACCCAAAGGTTGCGAGTTCGAGTCTCATACCGGCAGGGATTGTAGGTGGGGGGAGTGAATGTACAGCGCTCTCTCCCACCTTCAATACCACGACTGTTGAGCAAGGCACCGAACCCCCAACTGCTCCCCGGGCGCCGCAGCAAAAAATGGCTGCTCACTGTTCCGAGTTTGTGTTCACAGTGTGTGTGTGTGTGTTCACTGCTGTGTGTGTGCACTTTGGATGGGATAAATGCAGAGCACTAATTCCGAGTATGGGTCACCATACTTGGCCACATGTCACTTTC